TGTGTCACAAAAGTGATACCAACATGTTCACCAATGATTGGGCAGTTTTTTGATACCATGATTGTAGCATCAAGTGATAAAGAATGGTTATAACGACCCATCCAAATATAAGTGTTGGAAACTGTTTTGAGCCACCTTAAGGAGAGGAAGCTCTTCGCGACCGTTCGTGCAAGGCACTTCTGCATTTCGCAGAGCTACTTAGAACGCAAATATTCTTTACTGTACGCGGTACAATTCTTCATGGAAACTGCATCGTTAATTATAGAAAACGTAGCGCATTTTATACAAGAGCCTAAAGCAAGCTTAAATTATCAATAAGCGGCGAAAATTACCTGTGGGATATCCTGCAATTTCCATTTGTTTACAGAAGGACCTGAATTGAGTGCAGTCAATGGCGGCTAACGCCACGGATGGCTACATGAAAGAAGAATTGGTGTTAGTCAATGATGCAACGACCTTAAACAACGGAGGCAGAAATCATAGCTAGTCCTAGATAACAGAGAACACAACAAAAATGATGTGATTTTGTTGAACAGCTTTAAAAAATGACAGAAAAAAACATAAGGAAATGAAGGAAGCTTGCTATGGCGAGGCTGAAAATAGACCTGGTAAACATTTTCAATCATTGCTAAGAGCATTCTCCCCAAAGCTAAAATGTTCGTATGGATGACTTACCAGTTCCTCACTCAGGATCTCTGCGGCTTTGAAGTAGTCTGGCTTCATGGATTTACAATAACCGCAGCCTTAGGAGAAAAAAAACAGGTTTGTACAACACAATTAAATACTAATCATCAACAACGCTCACTTCCACATTATGATCTTAAAAGGCCACTTTCGAAATACTATAGTCCTAACTTGGTGAGGAGGCTTAGGGAAATATGATAAAACAAGAGAAATCATTCGTCACTCTCGATGTTACTTCTTTTGCTTTACTCCCTGAAGTCTGGGTGCCATGTTAGAATTTTAATAATCCAAAAAGGACTTATTTCAGGCATCAAGTTTTGCTAAATATCAAAACATTTAAAATGCTCTTTCTATTTCCGGTAAACCAATAAAAGGTTTGTATCAATTCTTTTGACTGACACGTGAACGCCAGCTGCAAAGCACGTGGTGCTTTATATGTTACCCTGGCTACCGATAAGTCTGAGGCTGGATCGGAAGTAAAGAATCAAGCGTAAAGTAATTTGGAGTGCAGGAAATCAACTCAAGTATTTCTTTTGAGCGTTAGCCCTGGAAGGGAGGGCCTCGGTGGGATTCGAACCTACAACTCCAAAACGTGCAAAATTGCGGTGGGAATTCGTTGCAAGTTTTGCCAATAAGTTCTTCTGTCTTCTGCTGTTGACAAAAACAGTCTACCTAAAATACATTCCCAAACCGTAATCAAGGGCCTATGTATAAGGATTTTAAACCGATCAAAGTTAACAGTTTACTTACGAGGATTGAACAGCATGACCAGCACTGAGGAATGTTCTCCTATGAATTTATCCCACGTCTCGTTCGTAAGGAAATGCACCTTACCAGGCTCCTTACTCCAGTCGGGTGGCGGTGGAGGTGGGGCGGGCTTCTGGGGACTGGAACACAGTATGTCTCTTGGTGTTAGAATTACTTTGCAGCTAAAAAAGCTCTTCAAATATTCAGTGATGTATAATCTATTTTGGTTGCTTTTTCTAGGACCGCCAGGAAATGCTGAACAAAATGTCGAAAGGAAAACTATCTTCAATTCTTTTCAGGAGCTATTTCAACCGCTTCTACTTACTCTTTCATGAAAGCGAGCATATCTTCAGCTTTCCTTTTCTTGGCGTACTTAAAGGCAAACTCGCCATCCCTGTAAACCGTAAAGGAATGAACACTGTATCAGTTCATATTCTGGTCAGGACAATCAAACAGTCTTTTCGTCATCTTCTGACGAGGTAAGACACTATGAAGTCTCCGTATTAGCGGTAACGTGTACATATCTCTCGTAAAACTACAACTGTCGCGATTTTTAAGCTGTTTAATAATTTAACCTTTCGCAAATCCAATAAATTTGTACAGTTGGACCTCGCTTATTCGAACTCGGTTATTTGAAATTCCCCGTTATTTCGAATTCAAAACTATTTCTCTTGGATTTGCCCTTCAGTCATTGACTATCGGCCATTTCGAACGCTCGCTATTTCGAACTATTT